AATCCCAGGATTCCATGGCACTGGGCTCAATCTGTATAGTATAAGCACAAATGTAAATACAAAGGCTGTACTATAAGCACAAATAATAGATGCTCTGCAAAGCACACGTGACTTCACTATATGCAGACTGAATGAACAGGCAGCATCAAGGCAGTTTGGATACAGCAAAAAGCAGCAAAAGCATTGTGCAAACGTGACAAAATCACAAACCACACATTCAATACAATGCAACTTGCATATCCATGGGGAATGAACTGCTGGACTTATTGAAGTCAGTGAAAATTCTGGACAACAGCAAACACTGGAGGACCTAGGGAATCCCTACGAAAGGCAAATTTTGGTAGATGCAAGTAAATAAAAACCTGTGTAAACCCCAAGGGCATAAGGGTCATGATTTTGGGGATAATAGAAATATGGGTTGGCCATAAGCAGATGATTAGAAATCGGAACACCTGCAGTTAGCACAATGTTATTGTGAAGCGGGCCACCTAAAAGCGAGACAAGCTTGTAGCCAATCAATTGCAAACACAAACAGTGAAATAGTGATTAAAATGTTCAAATATATATTCAAGCACGAGCTATTTTAAACACACTCAAACAAGCGGGGGGAAATGAGCATGCTAATGAGATGACAAGCTGGAATGTGTCCAGAGGAGGGCGACTAAAATAATCAAGGGTCTGGAGAACAAGCCCGATGAGGAGTGGCTTAAAGACCTGGGCATGTTTAGCCTGAAGAAGAGAAGGCTGAGAGGAGATATCATAGCCATGTATAAATATGTGAGAGGAAGCCACAGGGAGGAGGGAGCAAGCTCCCTTTCTGCTTCCCTGGAGACTAGGACGCGACAATGGCTTCAAACTACAAGAAAGGAGATTCCATCTGAACATGAGGAAGAACTTCCTGACTGTGAGAGCCGTTCAGCAGTGGAACTCTCTGCCCTGGAGTGTGGTGGAGACTCCTCCTTTGGAGGCTTTTAAACAGCGGCTGGATGACCATCTGTCAGGGGTGCTTGTTCCATTGCGTCCTAGTGTCCAAGGAAGCAGAAAACAAGCTTGCTCCCTCCTCCCTGTGGCTTCCTCTCACATATTTATACATGGCTATCATATCTCCTCTCAGCCTTTTCTTCTTCAGGCTAAACATGCCCAGCTCCTTAAGCCGCTCCTCATAGGCTTGTTCTCCAGGCCCTTGATCATTTTAGTCGCCCTCCTCTGGACACATGAGGCAGAAGCAATGGAGGCAGAACCAGGCAGTTTTTAAACAGGGGCTGGTTGGCCATCTGTCGGGGGTGCTTTGAATGCAATTTTTCTGTTTCTTGGCAGAATGGGGTTGAACTGGATGGCCCATGAGGTCTCTTCCAACTCTAGGATTCTATGATGAGGTTTTTAAGCAGAGGCTGGATAGCCATTTGTTGGGAAGGCTTTGGTGGCAGGATTGGGGTTGGACTGGATGGCAGTTATAGTTCCAACTTTGTAATATAGGCTGCCTTGGAATGCAGTGGAGTCTCCTTCTCTGGAGGTTTTAAGCAGAGGCTGGATGGCCATCTGTCTGGAGGGCTTGGGTTATGTCTTCTTGAATGGCAGAATTGGGGTTGGACTGGAGGGTTGTTATAGTTCCAACTTTAGCATAATATAGCCTGCCTTTGAATGCAGTGGAGTTTCCTTCTCTGGAGTTTTTTAAGCAGAGGCTGGATGGCCATCTGTTGGGAAGGCTTTGGCAGTGTCTTCTTGAACAGCAGAATTGGTGTTGGACTGGATGGCACTTATAGTTCCAACTTTGTAATATAGACTACCTTGGAATGCAGTGGAGTCTCCTTCTCTGGAGGCTTTTAAGTAGAGGCTGGAGGGCCATCTGTCGGGAAGGTTTTGGTGGTGTCTTCTTGAATGGCAGAATTGGGGTTGGACTGGATGGCGGTTATAGTTCCAACTTTAGTGTAATATAGGCTGCCTTGGAATGCAGTGGAGTCTCCTTCTCTGGAGTTTTTTTAAGCAGAGGTTGGATGGCCATCTGTCGGGAAGGCTTTTGTGGTGTCTTCTTGAACGGAAGAATTGGGATTGGACTGAATGGCACTTATAGTTCCAACTTTGTAATATAGACTGCCTTGGAATGCAGTGGACTCTCCTCTGGAGGCTTTTAAGCAGAAGATGGCCATCTGTTGGGAAGGCTTTGGTGGTGTCTTCTTGATCGGCAGGATTGGGGTTGGACTGGATGGCACTTATAGTTCCAATTTATAGTTCCAACAGATGAATGGCCATCTGTCTGGAGGGCTTGGGTTGTGTCTTCCTTTATGGCAGAAGGGGGTTGGACTGGATGACCTTTGGGGGTCCTTTCCAACTCTAGGATACAATGAACATAGGAAGGTATATTTTCCTAAGTCCTCACTCTTCCACACTGCAAGGGCCGGATATCCGCTTCCTAATGGAAGGGCAAAAGAAGCCGCTTTTGGGCACAGAAACAGCTGAGGAAGGCAGCAGCAGCTCAGTGAACAGGAAAGAGTCACCTTGAGAAGTAATTGTGAGATTCCCTCCTTGAGTTTCATTATCCAGCAGAGCAGAGACTGCGGAAGAAATAGGATTAGAAATTGCAAGGTGAAATATGAATCTTCGGGGGCATCTAATGCAATTTGACCCCGCTTGAACTGCCGTGGCTCAATGCTATGGGATCCTGGGAGCTGTAGTTTGGTGAGGCAGCAAAACTCTTTGGTAGGGGAGGCTCCAGACCTTGCAGGTCACACTCTCTCAGCCTCGGAGGAAAGCAACGTCAAAGCCCCTGCCAAGAAAACCACATGATTGCTTTGCCGTAAGTCATAAACAACCCAGGCACACAGCAACAGATCATAATAAACAGAGATAGTACATAACATCCACACCAATTCAGCCCAGAAAGTAAACAAACACATCATAGTTGTGGATACATAAATTTCAGGAAATTCAACCTTATGCCAGTTAAAAGTCCTGTCCCTCCTTCCTTCTTCCTTTCCTTCTTTTCCTCCCTCCCTTTCCTCCTTCTTTCCCTTTCTTCATTTCCTTCCCCTTCATTTCCTTCCCTCCCTCCTTTCTTCATCCCCCTCCTTTCTTTCCCTCCTTCCTTCTTCCTTCTCCTTCCTCCCTCCCATCCTATCCCTCCTTTTTTTCCTACCTTCCCTTCTTTCCCTCCCTCCCTTCCTTTTTCCTTCCTTCCTGTCCCTCCTTCCTTTCCTTCTTTTCCTTCCTCCCTCCCTCCCTTTCCTCCTTCTTTCCCTTTCTTCATTTCCTTCCCTCCCTCCTTTCTTCATCCCCCTCCTTTCTTTCCCTCCTTCCTTCCTCCTTCCTTCCTTCTCCTCCCTCCCTCCCTTCCTGTCCCTCCTTCTTTTTTCCCTACCTTCCCTTCTTTCCCTCCCTCCCTTCCTTTTTCCTTCCTTCCTCCTTCCTTCTTCCTTTCCATCTTTTCCTTCCTCCCTCCCTCCCTTTCCTCCTTCTTTCCCTTTCTTCATTTCCTTCCCCTTCATTTCCTTCCCTCCCTCCTTTCTTCATCCCCCTCCTTTCTTTCCCTCCTTCCTTCCTCCTTCCTTCCTTCTCCTCCCTCCCTCCCTTCTTGTCCCTCCTTCTTTTTTCCCTACCTTCCCTTCTTTCCCTCCCTCCCTTCCTTTTTCCTTCCTTCCTCCTTCCTTCTTCCTTTCCTTCTTTTCCTTCCTCCCTCCCTCCCTTTCCTCCTTCTTTCCCTTTCTTCATTTCCTTCCCCTTCATTTCCTTCCCTCCCTCCTTTCTTCATCCCCCTCCTTTCTTTCCCTCCTTCCTTCCTCCTTCCTTCCTTCTCCTCCCTCCCTCCCTTCTGTCCCTCCTTCTTTTTTCCTTCCTTCCCTTCTTTCCCTCCCTCCCTTCCTTTTTCCTTCCTTCCTTCTTCCTTTCCTTCTTTTCCTTCCTTCCTCCTCCCTCCCTTTCCTCCTTCTTTCCCTTTCTTCATTTCCTTCCCCTTCATTTCCTTCCCTCCCTCCTTTCTTCATCCCCCTCCTTTCTTTCCCTCCTTCCTTCCTTTCTCCCTCCCTTCCTGTCCTTCTTTCTGTTCCTTCCTTCCTGTCCCTCCTTCCTTCCTTCTTCCTTTCCTTCTTTCTAAGATATAAATACAATATTAAATGGAAGGGACAGTCAAGAAGTAATGAGAGAAGGAGGGAAAAAGGGAAGGAAGGAAGGAGAGAAGCAGGGAGGGAAAGAAGGAAAGAAAGAAAGATAGAGAAGCAAGGAAGGAGAGAAGGAAATAAAAAAGTGAAAGGAAAAAGAGAGGGAAGGAAGGAGAGAAGGAACAAAAGATAGGGAAGGAAGGAAGTAACCAAAGAGCAAAGAAAGGGAGGAAAGAAACAGGTAGAGATGGAAGAAAGATGAGAGATAGGGAAAGAAAAAGAGGAAAGGAAGGAAAGAGGGAAGGAAGGAGAGAAAGAGGGAAGGTTGGCCACAGCAACGCGTGGCGGGTACAGCTAGTAATATAATAAAACTTTATTTGTACCCCGCTACCATCTCCCCAAGGGACTCGGTGCGGCTTACATGAGGCCAAGCCCACAGCACATCAATAAACAAAATCAATACAAAAACAGTTAAAATAAACTCAAAAACAGAAAATGCACAATAAGCAATACACAATAACAATAACAAACAGCATTTGAAACCTATGGCCAGGTGATATTAGTTTTTGGACTGCTATTCCCCTGATCCACATCTGTGGTGTGCATTGGGAACTGTTGTGCAAAGAAATAATTTCCCTGCACTCTCACCGGTTGCATCTCCACTGCAGTTTGACACTACTTTACTTTCCATTACACAATACAATTGCATCATAAGAGCTATAGTTTCACAAGGTCTTTGGCCTTCTCTGCCACTACAACTTCCAGGATTCAGCCGAGGCAATTAAAGTGAGGCCAAACTGCATTAATTCTGCAGTATGGATAGATAAATGCACCCTTTCTTTCCTTTCTATTTCTGACATGGGAGAAAGCAGAGCATTTCCTCTTTGAAAAGCAATAAGGAGCACTTACCCAGGCAAAGCAACGACACAAATTCCTTGCCTAAATAAAGTCCTTGCACCGCTTTTGGCCCTAGAAGGTTATATTTTGGAGAGGAAGTGCCACAAGACAACCTGGAAGCCAAGGATCGGTGGCGCTGAGCATCATTTCCACCTGCGAAGCCCACTAGTCCTCAGATGGGGTCTCCAAACAACACAAATGCTGCAAGCGACACTTTGTGCAGCTCACATGCTCCAGCAAAAAGTTGTTGACGGAAGCCAGTGGCGCACGGGACAGAAGAGAAAAAAAAACTGAACCATGCGCAAGCTGCTTTGCAAACACATTCTTGCCCCGGTGATCATGGAAACGGCCTGGGTGGCAGCCAAAAGCAAACAGGCCTTTGGCAAGTGGCCACCACTGGCCCTCCAGACCTTTCCTTTAGGGAAACTGAAAGGTAAGGGATTATGATAATCCATCAAGATGGCACTCTGTACGGAACCTGCCATTGGTTTTGCAAAAGGATGGGTCTTGCACAAAAGAGCTGTATAGTATAAATAAAGGATGTGTCTACACTGTGGAATGAGTACAGTTTTGTAACACATTCACTGCTCCAGGTGATGGGATCCTTTGAGATATAGTTTTCCAGGTTCTTTATCCTTCTCTGCCCAATTGTGCATCGCCAAACTAGATTCAGATTGCGGGGGGAAAAGATTCCCACCTAAACATTAGGAAAAACATTCTGATGATAGGAACTGTTTGACCATGGAATATGCTGCTTGGGTCTCCTTCTTTGGAGATTTTCAAACTGAAGCTGTCGGGAGGGCTTGGACTCAAACATTTTAAACAGAGGGCCAGGTCACAGTCCTTCAAACTGTTGGAGGGCCAGATTATAATTTGAAAAAAAACATGAATGAATTCCTATGCACACTGCACATATCTTATTTGTACTGTAAAAAACACTTAAAACAATACAATAATTAAAGTGAATAATAATTTTAACAAATATAAACTTATTAGTATTTCAATGGGAAGTGTGGGCCTGCTTTTGGCTGATGAGATAAGGTTGTTGTTGTTGTTGTTGTTTCAAGTTTTTTCAGACTTAGGTTGACCCTGAGCGAGGGCCAGGTCCATGACCTTGAAGGGCCGCATTCGGCCCTCGGGCCTTAGTTTGAGGACTCAATCCATGGGTACCTTGGAATCTGATGGAGTGTCCTTCTATGGAGGTCTTTAAACAGAGGCTGGATGGCCATCTGTCAAGAGGGCTTGAATTGTGCCTTTGTGCAAAGCTGATTGAGGTTGGATTGGATGGCCTTTGAGTGACCCTTCCAAAGTGTGATGGAGACCCCACTGCATGACATAATAATAATAATAATAATAATAATAATAATAATAATAATAATAATAACAACTTTATTTATACCCTGCCACCATCTCCCCAAGGGACTGGGAGCAGTTTACATGAGGCCAAGCCCAACAACTATGTGGGTTAAACCCTTGTGCCAGCAGGACAACCTGGGGATCACAACCAGATACAGTGAAGACATCTGCTCTTCCGCTATGCTACTCTGCTGCTGAGTACGCATGCCCAATGTGGAACACATCTCACCACACTAAAACAGTGGATGTGGCTCTTAATGAGACATGCCGCATTATCACAGGGTGTCTGCGCCCCACACCACTGGAGAAATTACACTGCTTAGCCGGTATTGCACCACCTGATATCCGCCGGGAAGTGGCAGCCAATAGTGAAAGGACCAAGGCAGAGACATCTCCAGCTCATCCCCTGTTTGGGCATCAGCCAGCACGTCAACGACTTAAATCAAGAAATAGTTTTCTTAGATCTACAGAGACACTCGCTGGAACACCTCAGCAAGCGAGAGTTCAAAAGTGGCAGGCTCAAACCCAGCACCTCAATCCGTGGGTGATACCAAATGAGAGACTCCCTCCTGGGCACACAGAAGACTGGGCGACTTGGAAGGGGCTGAACAGACTGCGCTCTGGCACCACAAGACGCAGAGCCAACCTTAGGAAATGGGGCCACAAAGTAGAATCCTCGATATGCGAATGTGGAGAGGAGCAAACCACTGACCACCTGCTGCAATGCACCCTGAGCCCTGCCACATGAACAATGGAGGACCTTCTTGCGGCAACACCAGAGGCACTCCAAGTGGCCAGATACTGGTCAAAGGACATTTAATCAGCTACCAAGTTTGCAAAATTTGTGTGTTTTTTAAAAATTGTTTGTTTGTTTTGTTCTGTTAGAAATGTAATACAGTGTTCTGGTTGTGGATGACACGATAAATAAATAAGCAGGACTGAAGACCAACAGGTCACAGATTCGAATCTGGGGAGCGTACGGAGGAGCTCCCTCTATCAACTCCAGCTCCCCGTGTGAGGGCATGAGAGAAGCCTCCCACAAGGATGGTAAAACATCAAAACAGGGCATCCCCTGGGCAACGCCCTTGCAGACGGCCAATTCTCTCATACCAGAAGCAGCTTGCAGTTTCTCAAATCACTCCTGACATGGAAAAAAAACCTCCATGACATGTCAGTGCATAGTGCATATAATGCAGTTCAATGATGCTAAAATACATTATGAAACTGCATTATGTGGGAGTGTACTTGAGACTAGAGTTTCCTTCCCTGGAGATTTTTAAACAGAGTCTAAATGACCCTTGTGGGCATCCCTTCCAACTATATCAGGCCTGGGCAAACTTGGATCCTTTGGGTGAATTGGACTCCAACTCCCACCATTCCTAGGCTGATAGGAATTGTGGGAGTTGGAGTCCAAAACAACTGGAGAGCCCACATTTGCCCAGGCCTGAAGTATAGGATTCTATGAGCAACACCACTGGCCAAACCCAGCTGTCTCCTGGAAAGAAAACAGACCTGAACTAAGCGCATAATAATCCCGCTCTCCGGGGAGCTAGCTCATCTTGAGTAGCCATTGCTCTGTTCGCAACATCACTCCGGCGCACGCTTTGCCCGCTGCTGGCTGGCTGCTCTCCAGACCCAAGCCAAGTGTGTAAGCGAACCCATCCTAATGAATTAATGAATGGCTCCTGCAAGAGCCACTGAAGCCAGGAGAGAAGAGCGCAGGGAGACGGAGGAGAAGGGGACCAGCAGACAGCTCTCCGGCCATTGATCTCCTTCCTATGACAATCTGGTGCGCACAACCAGGCAGAGAAGAGAGACACAAAGGAGGAGAAGGCGATGGCGTGGGACCAGCATGGCCGGCGCCCTTTGTGCCAACTCGGGGGGTCTCCGTCGCTGCTTCTATGTTACTCCAGAGCTGCCTTGGGTCAACTGGTACCGGTAAGCCATGGGGAAACAGCCATAGAACAATGGGGAAAGAAGTTGTGCAGCAAAGCATGCGCCAAGGGAAAGGTCCATGGCTAACATCATCTAGAGAGAAGCAGAAATGCCTTTTGAAAAATAAGACATTTTCCTCCTGTTATTCACCTTCTCTAGGTCAAGATCTCTTTCTGAAACTTCAGCATCTTTGGACATCTTTGGACACCGGTTTCAGGTCCCCTAATGCTCCACATCCACTAAGCTGGAGATTCCCACACTCTGGCATTCCAAACGTTTTGGATTCCAGCTCCCAGAATCCTTGTTCATTAGCCAAGGAAGCTGATGGGATTTGGGATCCAAAACACTTGGGTGATTGAGTTTGGGAATCATTGCCTTAGAAGATCCGGAGTATTAGGAAACGGGGACCCTATATTGCCATCATGTCCAAAGATTCCCAAGTTTTGGGAAGAGATCTTAACTTGGATGAGCTAAATAAAGAGAAAGCCTGATATAGTATTTCTGGTATGTGTTGCAAGGATGGAGACCTCACAACCTCTGAGCATGCCTTCCATAGATGCAGGCGAAACGCCAGGAGAGAATGCTTCTGGAACATGCCCATACATCCCGGAAAACTCACATCAACCCAGTGATTCCAGCCATGAAAGCTTTCGACAATACAGGATGGAGATAGTCAAAATATGGAAAGAAAAATTAGAAATACCGAGGAGCTTCTGGTGGCAAAGTGGGTTAAAGTGCTGAGCTTGCTGATTGAAAGGTTGCTGATTCAAATTCGGGGAGTGGGGTGAGCTCCCGCTGTTAGTCCCAGCTTCTGCCAACCTAGCAGTTYGAAAACATGCAAATATGAGTAGATCAATAGGTACTGCTCCGGCAGGAAGGTAACGTCACGCCATGCATTAGCCCCAGCTTCTGCCAACCTAGCAGTTCGAAAACATGCAAATATGAGTAGATCAATAGGTACTGCTCCGGCAGGAAGGTAACGTCATGCCATGCATTAGCCCCAGCTTCTGCCAACCTAGCAGTTCGAAAACATGCAAATATGARTAGATCAATAGGTACTGCTCCGGCAGGAAGGTAACGTMATGCCATGCATTAGCCCCAGCTTCTGCCAACCTAGCAGTTCGAAAACATGCAAATGTGAGAAGATCAATAGGTACTGCTCCGGCAGGAAGGTAACGTCATGCCATGCATTAKCCCCAGCTTCWGCCAACCTAGCAGTTCGAAAACATGCAAATGTGAGTAGAACAATAGKTATTGCTCCAGTGGAAAGGTAACAGCGCTCCATGCAGTCATGCTGGCCACATGAACTTGGAGGGGTCCATGGACAATGCCGGCTCTTCGGCTTAGAAATGGAGATGAGCACCAACCCCCAGAGTCAGACACATCAGGGGAAAACCTTTACCTTTACTATTGATACAGAATTGGATAAGCAGAATATGGGCCATTGCTCGCTCGGAAAAAAATGGAGACATCAGAGAGAATTTGCTCGAGCTTATATGGAAGTAATGTATTAGCTCTATGGCCCCCTTCTACACTAACATATACAAATCCAGATTATCTGCTTTGAACTGGATTATATGGAGGTGTAGACTCATATAATCCAGTTCAAAGCAGATAATGTGGATAATTGGGATTATATGGCAGCCTATGTGCCAGGATAATAACAGATTTGAACCATCCTCAGATCAAGCATGGTTTTGGTTAGATGTATAGCATAAAGTATGTCTAGAGTAAGTAAATTAGACGATAAAGGAAAATTTTCTCCTGCTTGTAAGATTGGGGTTGGATTGGATAGCCTTTGGGAGCCTTTTCCAGTTCAATGATTCTATAGCAGGTATGGGCAAACTTGGGTCCTCCAGATGTTTTGGATGGCCATCTGTCTGGAGGGATTGTATGGTGTCTTCCTGCTTGGAAGAATGGGGTTGGATTGGATGACTTTTGGGAGACTCTTCCAGCTCCATTATTCTAGAACAGGTATGGGCAAACTTGGGCCCTCCAGGTGTTTTGGACTTCAACTCCCACAATTCCTAACAGCTTGGAAGTGCCTGGGGGAATCTTTTGTTGAGAGTGATTTGATGTGCCTGCTTGTTTACTCTCTGTTGTAATTTCTCAACAAAAGATTCCCCCCAGGCACTTCCAAGCCATTAAATGCTAATCAAGGTGGTCAGCTGAAACATTCACACCTAGCTCCAGCAAACAAAAGTCCTTTGTCCCACACTGGTCATTCCACAGATATATAAACCCATTTTTCTACTTCCAACAGACCTCACTACCTCTGAGGAATCTTGCCATAGATGCAAGTGAAACGTCAGGAGAAAATGCCGCTAGAACATGGCCATATAGCCCGGAAAAACCTACAAGAGCCCAATAATAATAATGGTTTATTATTATTATTATTATTATTATTATTATTTCAAGATCAAACTGCAAAAACTCTGGCACAAGCCAGTCAAGGTGGTCCCAGTGGTGATAGGCACACTAGGTGTAGTGCCTCAAGACCTTGGCCTGCACTTAAACACAATCGGCGCTGACAAAATTACCACCTGTCAGCTACAAAAGGCCACCCTACTGGGATCTGCACACATTATTCATCAGTACATCACACAGTCCAAGACACTTGGGAAGTGTCCGATGTGAGATCCAATACAACAGCCAACATAGTGATCTCGTTTGCTGTGAACTAATCTTGTGTTTCAACTAATAATAATAATAATAATAATAATAATAATAATAATAATAGTTCCTCTCCCCGAAGTGGGGTATGGTATCATTAGAATACATGCATAAAAGCATAAGACCATTAAAACTTATAGAGCAGTGTTTCTCAACCTGGGGGTCAAGACCCCTGTGGGGGGTCATGAGGGGGTGTCAGAGGGGTCACTAAAGACCATCAGAAAACACAGTATTTTCTCTTGGTCTTGGGTTTGGTTCAGTTCCATCATTAGTGGGGTTCAGAATGCTCTTTGGTTGTAGGTGAACTATAAATCCCATCAACCACAACTCCCAAATGTCAAGGTCTATTTCCCTCAAACTCCACCAGTGTTCACATTTGGGCATATTGAGTATTCATGCCAAGTTTGGTCCAGATCCACAGTGATTTCTGGATGTAGGTGAACTACAACTCCAAAACTCAAGGTCACTACCCACTAAACACTTCCAGTATTTTCTCTTGGTCATGGGAATTCTGTGTGCCAAGTTTGGTTAGATTCAATCATTGGTGGAATTCAGAATGCTCTTTGGTTGTAGGTGAACTATAAATCCCAGCAACTACAACACCCAAATGTCAAGGTCTATTTTCCCAAACTCCACCAGTGTCCACATTCGGGTATATACTGGATATTCCTGCCAAGTTTGGTCCAAACCCATCATTGTTTGTATCCACAGTGCTCTGTGGATGTAGGTGAACTACAACTCCAAAACTCAAGGTCAATTCCCACTAAAGACTTCTAGTATTTTCTGCTGGTCATGGGAGTTCTGTGTGCCAAGTTTGGTTCAGTTCCATCATTGGTGGAGTTCAGAATGCTCTTTGATTGTAGGTGAACTATAAATCCCAGCAACTACAACTCCTAAATGTCAAGGTCTATTTTCCCAAACTCCACCAGTGTCCACATTCGGGTATATACTGGATATTCCTGCCAAGTTTGGTCCAAACCCATCATTGTTTGTATCCACAGTGCTCTGTGAATGTAGGTGAACTACAACTCCAAAACTCAAGGTCAATTCCCACTAAAGACTTCTAGTATTTTCTACTGGTCATGGGAGTTCTGTGCCAAGTTTGGTTCAATTCCATCATTGGTGGGAGTTCAGAATGCTCTTTGATTGTAGGTGAACTATAAATCCCAGCAACTAACCCAAAATGTCAAGTCTATTTTCCCAAACCACCAGTGTTCACATTTGGGCATATTGAGTATTGCCAAGTTTGGTCCAGATCCATCATTGTTTGATCCACAGTGCTCTCTGGATGTAGGCGAACTACACACTACCCACTAAACCCTTCCAATATTTTCTTTTTCATGGGAGTTCTGTGTGCCAAGTTTGGTTCAATTCATCATTGGTGGAGTTCAGAATGCTCTTTGAATTGAAGGTGAACTATAAATCCCAGCAACTATAACTCCTAAATGTCAAGTCTATTTTCCCCAAACTCCACCAGTGTTCACATTGGGGCATATTGAGTATCCGTGCCCAGTTTGGTCCAGAAACACCATTGTTTGTGTCCACAGTGCTCTCTGGATGTAGGTGAACTACAACTCCAAAACTCAAGGTCACTACCCACTAAACGCTTCCAGTATTTTCTCTTGTTCATGAGAGTTCTGTGTACCAAGTTTGGTTCAATTCCATCATTGGTGGAGTTCTGAATGCTCTTTGATTGAAGGTGAACTATAAATCCCAGCAACTACAACTCCCAAATGTCAAGTCTATCTTCTCCAAACTTCTCCACATTGGGACATATTGAGTATTCGTGCCGAGTTTGGTCCAGAAACATCATTGTTTGTGTCCACAGTGCTCTCTGGATGTAGGTGAACTACAACTCCAAAACTCAAGGCCAGTACCTACTAACTAAACCCTTCAAGTATTTTCTCTTGTTCATGGCAGTTCTGTGTGCCAAGTTTGGTTCAATTCCATCATTGGTGGATTCAGAATGCTCTTTGATTGTAGGTGAACTATAAATCCCAGCAACTACAATTCCCAAATGCCAAGTCTATTTCCCCTAAACTCCACCAGTGTTCACATTTGGGTATATTGGATATGCCTGCCAAGTTTGGTCTAGGATCCATCATTGGTAGGGTTCAGAATGCTCTTTGATTGTAGGTGAACTATAAATCCCAGGAACTCCAAAACACAAGGCCAATGCCCACCAAACCCTTCCAGTGTTTACTGTCAGTCATGGGAGTTCTGTGAGTTTGGTTCTATTGTAGGTAAACTATAAATCTCAGCAACTACAACTCCCAAATGACAAAATCAATACTTCCTCCCCAACCCCACCAGTATTCAAATTTGGGCAG